CCCCCACGTGAAGCGCTCTGCTGGCCACGCAAAGGAGCCCGAGAAACGCCAGCACAAGGCGCTGATGAATGGCCCTCGGCTCTGTGCGCACCATTTTCTCACAATTATAACAGGGAGAAGACACGCTGTCCTGCTGAGAGCAGGAACCATGCGCCCCCAGAGCAAGGCAGAATCCCTCTCTGGGGCCCACACTCAGGCAGAACTGATTTTTCTGAGACATACAGGAAAACTAAAATCTGATTTAATGCTTAGGAAATTGCCTTTTTTACCCACCTGTGTAAGCCTGTATTTAAATGCTAATATTTCTGGCCTGCTGGGATGCTACATTTATTTTCTTCCTTAGCAGCAACAAGAATCAGTTATTCATTTGTTATGAGAATTCTAGTTCCTACCAGCTCTCTGAGCTTCTCACCTCTATTGTCATCTATCAGACAGACATTTCTCTCTTCAACACACATTGAATCTATAACCATCTTCCTCACTAGATCTGATCCTAACTATATTTCTAACTTTTTCTAACTATATTTCTAGAACCACCAGTGGCCTTTGTCTTCTTCCCTTCCACTGACCTTTCCCCCATCACTCACTAGTCCCTCTGATTCTGCCTCTTCGTCTGAGGTAAATCACTTAACCTTGTGTAGGCCTCTATGTGCTCATCTGTAAAATGGGTGTAATGAATAATGATGAGGGTTTTTTTTTTTTTACAAGACTGAGATGAGATAATCCAAACAATTTACCCAGGATAGCATCTGGCCATAGAGTAACAAACCACGGTGATATTTTTATAATTACTGTGACTCCCAAAGAATCTGGCCTTTTCTTCTTTATGTTGTCCTCTTGGGGCTGGCCAGAAAGCTCCAGGAGGTCCCTGTCCCGCTGATTTGAAAGCTCAAACAGGTCACCTATTTTATTCTTTGCATCACAATATTTTCTTTCTCTGAAATTCCTTACTTTGTGATTCTATTTGTGGTCTGAGCACATTTTCCACTCTTCAACCTCTAAAATGAAATATGCACACAGCAGGGATTTTGTCTTATTCACCAGCTCTTCCCTAACACCAGACACACAGTGTGAGTAACTATTTGCCAAACAAACAAATGGGGAGAAAAGGGGTGTAGGCTTTTAGAACATGAGACACACAGACCATGCTGCTGCTCAGCTACTGAGCCCAGCCAAGGGTCCCTTCTCTGCTCTGCTCAGGAAAGCAGAGGCGGTGACTAAAAACCACATTTCTGCTTCCCAGGCAGCCCCGTGGCAGCCTCTGCCAACAGAGGAGGGGCAGGCCGGCTGGAGGGGCGCTTCTCTTCCTTCTGTCTGCTTCCTGCTCCTCCTTCCTCTGCCAGCCATGGTTCTTTAGCAGCAGCTGCGGCATCCAGGGCTGGATATCATTATTGTTATTGTTTTCACTGTTGCTTTGAGCGCTTGGCATCAACCTCACAGCCCTACCTTAGAGAGCCCAGGGTGCTGGGGC